GCTGGTCAGTTGTGGTCAGTGCTATGCCGCTGCTGCTGCCACAGGAACACAAAGCTCCACCACCACGAGTTCGTTCAGTTGCACCGGATGCAAGAGCAAAGAAAGCGTTGCTGTGGCGCGCTGCTTCGATTGCTCAAACTTCCTGTGCGCCAACTGCGTGATGGCCCATCAGTTCATGCACTGTTTCGAGGGTCATCGTGTCATCGAGCTGTCGCAAATGTCGGTGTCTGATGGCGCAGGCGAGCCAGAAGCCGCTGACCGTCCGGTGAAATGTCTGCAACACCATCAGGAGAATATGCATTTTTTCTGCTTGTCATGCAACATCCCCATTTGCAAAGAGTGCACGTTGAAGGACCACCCGCGAGACACACATCACTTCGAGAAGATCAGCGAAATTGGATCGCAGCAGGTAAACTGTAAAGCACTTCAGTTGTTAATTGTTTCCTTGACCGACTTTTCTTGTTTAAGCATCATTCCTTGCCACGATTGTTTATGTAACTCATTTGAGCATCTCTTAACCGAATAAAAGGTTTGATAATCTTACCAAATTATATCATTATCGTTGTTTAATATCCTATGATTCATTCAAGACCAGATTTCATGACGTATTGCACCACCCCTTTACTTCTATTTCCCTGAAAAGGGCAATGTGGGCAGACGATCCTTCCATGGTTTTTGAGTAGCTTGCAGTGCCACATACATCTCACATCATTTTGTCCGCTACATCCATCTCGTACCGATCAAGAACGATGTTTGAGGAGCTGATACTCGTCCCATAAACATTATAAGCTGTTTGCTCGTACGCCCGAGTATATCAAGTACGAATGATTCGTCCAGAACCAAATCGTATATCGTTGTTTAAATGTTTATCCTTGATAACTTCATTTTCTGTACATTCTCATGCACTCTTCAAAAGATTACGATTTACGACACGCCTTTGTGCACCCACTCATGTTCGCGGATCAGTCGTATGAGCGACTTGTAAGTCCTGCGTTCAAAACTCGTTATGCAGAACGTTGTCATTGTAACCATTTCCCGAAGTCCCAAAAACTGGCGACAACTTTAATTCACTACTTGATTGCTGTTCAGCAATATTACGATGCAAAATGCCTGTAACTCATTTTCGTCCACCGTTTGCACCGACAGTCATATAGAAAAACCCATGGGGAATGTTTACTAAAGATTTCGAAAAACTGTCGTAGAAATTGTTCTCCTCTCGGTAGAAATCCATTAACAAACATAGGTACCTCTGAGATCGGAAAAGATAATATCTAACGGTCAGAACGGCTGTCTTTTGTACCACACAGATCGTATGTGTTGGGATTGGGACATTGCGAAAAGGGTTACAAGTTGAGTAAAACAAGGCGTGAGTACATGAGGGATGTTTCGACAGAACATGGCAGGAACCCTACCACTGGATAATTTAAAATCCTCAAACTAGCTTCCTCTGGTACAGCGTTGGCAGGCTCGCCCGTTAAGGATGCAACCGGAAAAATATGAAAATTCTCGAAGTAGTTGACGCAGAACAAACGCGCAGAATGGTGAGCACATGAGAAAACCCAGACTGTTAATTCCGAATGACTTCATTGCTGCCCATAATACCTGTTTGACTCAACAATATGCACTTTCTTGTTGCCGCGACTTTGCTTATCCACATATTCTCTGTAGAATTCACATTCTGTTATGAAATTTTCCAAGCCAGTTCATGAAGCTCTTTGCGGGTGGGGGATGAGCGATCTCCAAGTTTAACCAACTGTAAAGGGGATTTACTGATTAGAGATGCAATATCGTTGCGGATTCCGCACTATTTAAACAATGAACGAGAACATTTTAGTATAAAAATTTTTATAGACAGTTTTTAAACCAGTGCCTAAAGTGTTGTTTCCTTTCGAGGAATATATACTACATTTAGAGGTTCTTTTTTCCGCAGAACCCTCATTTTGATTTTTAAAAATACGTTTTTCAAGCCAGCTGAGCAACAAGCTGCAAACCTTTAGGCCAACAGGCGACATATACCGCCAGAAATCACTGATCAGCATTATGTGATACGATTTGGTTCGTAGATCAGAGATGCGTATCGCCCTGAACTGCTTTTCCTGGCATAATCTGTATCGTACGATCGAGGGAGCGTCGCGACATCAATCAGTGACACCCCTTACACGGTTCCTTGTTGGTTTCTTTGATGTGAAAGCAATAATGTCGTCTGTCTTGAACATATCGGTTTCAGACCGGTTGCTGTAGCAAGAACCTTATAGAAGGTGTTAGACGGGTCTTCGTACATGCCATGGCAACAGGCCAAGCATTTGGTTGACACAGCTTGCCTTGTCGACTAGGCTTGTTGGATGATGACGAATGCGATGAAGATGAAATTCGATGTTACTAATTGAATGTAAGATAAAAAATTTCAGTACTGGTTTAAAATTTAAATTAGGAATGAGTATTTTCAAGTTATCTGACATGCTCTAATGGCATCGCGCTGTTTGCCTCATTTGTTTAAAATGGTTAGCGGCTCCGTTGTTGACTGATTTCTTTATCTTTTTCTTGCCGATCTTGGGCAGCCGTTGTCGTGCTGCTGCGCCCCCACGTGCCGGAAGGCAGGAAGGGAAGCAGGTTCTGATAACCGAGTCTGCACACAGTCTATCTCATTTTCCTAACAGCTTGATCTGCCTTTGGTAAGCCGGGCGACGACCGAACCGGTATAATGTTCGATAATAGTAATACCCGTGAGGAGCAAGTGGCTAAGTTTTACGCAAGACCGCTACGATCCTCAACCCTACTCCTTTCTAATACGAATTCTTGTTGAGCCTGTGATCTTTGACGAAAGTAACAGCGACAAAACAGAACGAAGAACGGAAATTCAACCCCGCTTTATAACTTTAAATGCATTTACGTATAAAAAGCATCGGTGATTCTCGTCACTTAAGACTGCTGAAGAAGGCTATAAGCTCCACTCGTCACTTCATCCCCACCGCAGGATTGTTTGCCTGTATGTCTGCCAGGTATTTTCTATCTTTGTTCTGTTTAGGGTTCGCTACGTGACCCTAGACCTCATAGAGTGACATAAATTTACTTTGTCTGATGTCACCTTCTGAACACGGATCACGTATATGTTGCAAAATGTAGAAATTAGGCATAATGAACATAATATGCGTAATGAACTTGTTGTTCGGTTTCACATCGTGAAGGCTTTCTGCAATTATAAACATAGATACGAAGAGTATTACGATAGCGGTTGCACATGTAGTAAAAATTTCATTGGTTCATTCGTCCATTCTTTATTTCATTTTTTTAGTTGTAGCGTACGCCGAATGTTACGCTTCCGTTAAACAGCTGATATCTTTATAAATGAGTTCTTATCGACCGCACGAATCACTGCTAATTTTCTGCGGTCGGTCCGCTTGTTATATTCCTCTGCAGAAATAGATACGGATAATCGTTAGTTATGATCCTGATTAACATGTCGATCCTCGGGGAAGTTTTAGCGTTACATGTGATGACTAAACCAGAAACGGTGATTCATTTCACCTTGCGGCGGTAACAGAATCAATATGGTCCTCATTTAATTTAACTTAATTAATTTCGTTTTTTGAACGGTTATTTGTAAACGGTTGTTTAGCATAAAACCGAAATTGAGAGGATACAATGTAAACCAAAATGGAGGAGGCGTGAATTGTCGTGTAAGAAAACGAGGGTACGAGAAGGGAGTGCTGTAAAGGCAGTAAAACGAACGCTGTTCTTGGTCATGAGCGACCGACACTTTTGACTGCTCGACGGTCATCTGATCGATCTTTTTGCTTTTCGCATCCGACGCAGTACTACTGGATTACACCGAGGTATATGCTGTCCTGTATTCAGATGTTAATGAGCTTCAGAGTTTCCACAAACAATCTGAGAAACAATCCTTAGGCGTTTAATAGGTCAGGTCTTCTTATTTTCAGTCACACACGATTTAGATGCCATCACCGTTTCTGTCACGCCCGCGTATATTTCCTTGTTGATTTTCATTCACCCTGGAAAAACAAAATCGTCTGCCTTCTCCATGGTATCGTTATCGTTAGACCGGATCGCCTCAGAAATGCGTTCTGTCAGACGGGCTTGAAAACGATGTACCTTTAATCGATGTCATGTCTGTACATTGTTTGGTCGATGACATAGTCTGGTTTCGTTCGGTCTATGATGACATAGTGTTTACGTTGGTATACGATCTGTTGCTTTGATCGTACCGTACTCGAAATATGTGAGGAGCTTGTTCAAAAATGGTTATTTGTGTCCTCTCCATTTTTTTAAGTTTTGTCTTTAAAAAGGAATCGCGACATGAAGCCATTTTCAACATAAACATAATATAGCATAGAGACGTACATAATGCCACAAATTAAATGTACAAGTTAATACAGTGACAAAATTATCTCGACCAGGATAGCTCTGTAGAAGAATAGCACAATTACTGCAGTCTAGACGGTATCTGTCACTATCGATCTAATGACAGTCAAAAGGAAAAAAAAACAAGAACGAGCCTAGAAACAAAGCATAAATATCAAGTGGAATTGAAGAAAGGCAAGCAGCAGAAAAGCAACAGATGAATTGGAATTATACAACGAATGTATGAACAGATGAGTCGATTCAGGACCTCTTTATGAACCTTCGCACAGTGTACAGCCGTGAATTTGCAGAGCATGTTGATTGACAAAAACGAATGCTGCGTTTAGTTTCATGAACACTTTCTGACTTATCGCTGCTCATGTGTTAATTTGCTTATGCCCTTTATCTAACCGCGCGTCCAGTATATCACGAACTAAGAAAGGTAGTCAGTTTGGTATACTTCATAGTATTTTTGTTTCCATACTTCTGCTTTCGTTAGTATCGATATAGACCTTGGCCGATGATATTCGCTGGATGCCTGAAAATGGACGTCTGACAGATTCATCTGAGAATTAGTTTATAGATAATCAAGCCAGGTAAAATGTTTGTCTTCTTCAGTAGTTTCGTGTGGTACAAAATCTGATAAAAATTTATCAAATCATCTGCGAAGATATAAAGCTATGAAGTTCGTGTTCGTGGAATTGAAGTATGTCGGCATAACGTTGAATAATTTACATGTCGTGTGACACAAATTCGAGCATTAATTGCCAAATGTACGGGGTAATGTCATTTGAAGAAAGAAACACGTCACAGTGAGTGTCTGATTGTCAGTATCAGTTGCTAACAGTTTTTTCCTATCACTACTGATATGTGTACTTGTCGACTTCGAACTCGGATTCAGGAGGTATCGACTTCGATTCTCACGGGGAGGGGAGCAATCTTTGTTTTTACTACAGACTGCTTCGACCAAAGAATTGCCATACGTTGCTTCAGGTCGCGGTTACTCGGTCGGTGGGATGTTACACTCATAGCCGAGAGGTGGATTCGAGCTTCGCTCAGAGCTGGTCACCTTCCCACCTAAGTTCATAAATATGTGCCACTGAGTGGGAAAGAAACGTGAGAATATAGACTTTGCTTGTCTCATATCAGCTGTCGATTCTGCTTTTAGAAAAATGAGGCACTTACCGGTGATATCATAGAAATGTAGTTCAGCGCGTTCATCGCTAACTTCATAAAATCAAGGATGTCAAAATTGGCTCCTTCATGTAAGTATAAGGAACGCCGACATTTCAACGGTTAGAAACTTTCCTTTTTCCTTTCCTAAATGAAGCTTCACCATGTTTTTTCAGCCTTAGAGGTGGCCTGTCCACTGTGACCATTTCAGACTCCTGCTTTAAGCTCTGGTAAAAAAATACTATCTGGCAAGTTTTGGCTAATTTAGAACAGATTTTGCTGCGAGGATATCAACAGCAAATGAAGCGTTAGTAAATTTTACTGATGCTGTAAATTTGCTGTAAATTTTACTTAGCTGCATTACTGAGACCTGCAAAGGATCTTGCTAGTTCTGTTTCTAGCACAAATGCTGCGTCGGGGTATTCCGGTGCAAATTACAGGAATTAGTTGACACGCCTT